TAGTTCCTTCAGTGGTTAGGTGTAGAATTTAAATTTTGCTCTGGCCAGTTGCTTCACTGGTCAAAGTAGAACCTTAAAAGTTAGTGGTGATCTCACTATTAATTTGCAAGGTAGAGGTTCAAGGTCAAGGAAATATCTAAACCAAATTATGAGTATGGCAGCTTTCCCTTATTCTTCACTCTTTTTTTTTTTTTTTGTTTTTTTTTTGGGCTAGAATTGTCAATGAGAGTAGTTATGACTAAAAGATGGTTTCAAACTGATGCTTGGCTTTCATTTGCAATAAATGCAGCCAAGCTCAGAAAGACAATGCTTAACATGTCTAGGCTACCTGTTTCTTTATTTACTTTATAGTAGTCCATGACAAGGATGTTAGCATCTTTATAAATGATAACAAACATTTGAGCGCATAGCACATACAATATGAAACTAGGTAAAGGGAGACAAATGATACTATTCCCTTGATATCAAATGCAAATTCCAGATTTAGAGAAACAATTTGGAAAGGTTAGAGGGAGGTTATGCTTAATAGTTGTTGGACCTAATAAAAATTCCAACTCTCAAGTAACTCTCATTAATTTAGTCAAGTTGTAACATGTCTGAAATGAATGTGAATTTACCTTGCTTTTTGACCTCCCAAAAAGAGATGAACAAGTAGCTTTTGTATCCTTCTGCTCAACAGGAACTACTCCGGCCAGTGAAGCAACTGGAGGCCATTACGAAACAAAAAAGACGTGGCAGTAGGGCCATGAAAAAAGATAAAAAATTAGACATCAACAAAAGATAAAAATAACAAGGGGAGAAAAAATGGTATTGACATGTATTAATCTCATTTATTTCTCTACTGGATAGATTTAGACTATAAACAAATGCAGCAACAAACTTTGGAACTAAAAAACAAAAAAGCAAAAATATGATAAAGAACGAGTGTTCAAGCTATACTCACTAGTTTATGGCTTCAATTGATTCCTCTAGTTTTGATGCTGTTGTCACAAGAAAGAGGAGGACAATTTATGCTAATAGATAAAAGGGTTAATTTTGTAATTATCTTTAACCTAATCTAAACAGCCCCTAAAATCCCTCCCAAACCCCCCAAATTAGGACGATTGCAAATCTGCAGAGTTGAGGGTGGTTGAAAGGATTCCAAATTCATCGATCTCCCTCCGCTCACTCCCCTTCCCTTGTCATCCGTTCCCATCCCTTCCCCTCCCTCCCCGTTCGACACCTCCAATCCAAACAATACGTAAATCTCACTTATTTAAAATCAAATTAAATTAGATTTTATAAAAGAATAATTTTTTTAAATCTTTTTTTTTATTTCTAAAATTTAAATTTAAAATTTCATTGTAAAAAATGTCAAATTATTTTCACTTAAATCAATAAATTGCTAATTCTTTTTATACGTTTTCATATACTAAAAAGTAATTATATTTTTTTATATTAAATAATTAGGTAAAATAAAAGTTTGCATATCTAAATTTATCTTAGATTAAATTTTTAATTTAAAAAATTTTTAACTAAACCCTTATTTGTAAGTGATTGAAATATACGAGAGAGGGAATTGGAAGCATAAGCACATATTTGAATTTTTGACAAAGTAACTTCAATTTCCAATGCTCTAAATTATTTTTTTCGTTTATAATCAATCTTTTAGTGCTCATTATCTTTTTTCTTATAATCCATTTTTTAGTGCATTGGGTTTTTAAGTTATGATTATGATTTTAAATTTAAATTTTGGTTTTTAAAAATTAAAATATTTTTAGAATAAAATTAAGAAGTTTTATAAATTAATTAAATTTGAAGTTTTTAGTACTAGTTTTAAAAATTTATAATGAATAATTTGTTATTTTTAATTAATTTTACTTTTCAATTATTAATTTTGATTTGTTTAAATTTTTAAAACTAAAATCAAAAGTTAAAAATTGCAATTATACTAAATGGAACCTAAAATTTAAGATTAAATTCAACTATTTAGTATTCAATACATAGGATTACCTAATAACAAAACAAAAACAATAATTCTTTTAATTCATTTAACTTTTTTAGTTTTAATTTAATATTGTTCAATTTCTTACAACCAAAACCCAAAACAATCCTTAGTAATCATGTACAATTTTGAGTAAGTCCTAATTATGTATACAAAAAAATAAGGCCCAATTTTATAAGAATGTAATAAATTAAAGTTATGTTTAGAATTGCCATATTGAGCTTTATATGTTATTTTTCATGTATTACACTTGTATGTTATTTTAAAATCTAAATTAATATTTTCTAATTATTTAAAAATTGTACATTTGTATAATTATTAAAATATACAAAATACTAATTAAAATCAATTTATTTATAATAAATTAAATCCTTTTAGTAGTGTCCCGCATGGAAATGTATTGCTAGAAAGTAATCTTAGACACAACTTAAATTTACCAAATTTTCCTCACCAAAGAATTAAATGTTAACTGCCTTTTAGCATGTTTAACTAATAAGAGCTTAATAATTCAAGTTGCAAGTTATAAATTTGAACTTTAAGATAAGGGAGGAACAACACTCTTGTATAACTCACTCAAAATATGAGGACAAAAAAATAAAAACTAGAACAATAAGGGTTCTGTGAGAGTGTTAGTCTATTATTCCTTGGTAATTTGTCCTTAATGATAATAGTTTTCCCTAGCAACCAGGGTTTCTTCTCTTCTCTTCTCATCTATTCTTTTTCATGTAATTTTTGTCAACAACTCTTACGTTTGGCATGTACTCTGTTTTTCTGTTAAATGGTGATTTTCTACTACTTTGGTGGGTGTGTTAATGTGGGATCATACTTGCGGATTAGTGGGTATGAAGGTGGGCTGTAGTTTGAGAGCTACTATGATGATTGTGAATCTGAAGATTTGAGGCATAGGGCTATGAGTGAGGGGTAGGTGCTGACGACGAGGAATTAGTGTGAGGTCATTATGGGTTAAAGCCCTTGAGAGGGTTATCCATAATGGTGAAGACTATTACCATGGTTGCACATGGTGGTAAGAAATTTAGATGGGAAAAGAAGTCGATTAAGGCCTATGGACAAGACTGAGGAGGTAAAGGGTGGAAGATGGGGATGAGAGGTTGTACATGGAAACTTGGGTGGTGGTCTTTGGTGGCTCGATGAGGTTGGAAATTAAGGCAACAAAGGGCATGCGATAAAGTTTAAGGTGGAAAATGATTAAGTGATTCAATTGCATTGTAGTCTCCCAACTATGTTTAGGTTTTAATTTTTGTATTTATTTAATGTTTAATTTAGAGTAAGTTAGGAACTTTGGCTTTATGTTATCCTTGTTTTCGCCTAGGTTACTAGGCCTTAGTTTTGGTAAGGTTTTAATGTTAGTCTACTTTTTAATTTCCTTTTCATTCTAGTTTCTTAATTATTGTTTGGTCTATTTAGTCTTAAGTTTGTGCTAGTTAGGATTGAGAGACCTTGTGAGTGTTGGGAGCACCAAGTCAACAATTCTCCCTTTGAGCACCAAGTCAATAATTCTCCTTTTAGTGTGTGTTTAAGGTCTTTTCTCGTTAGCAAGTTTCTTGAATTAACTATGAGCATGTCTTAACCTCAATAACTAGGGTATGAGCAAAATTAGCTCATATTGTAGGATATGTCTCTATAATCGGAATAATTCATAGAAGTGTTAACTATGTATGTTAGTCATTAACTCATTATCATTATTCATCAAGGCTTTTCCCAAAAATCTTGTAGGTTTTATGAGTCACCCCAATATATTATATGAATGAATTCTCATTTTCGATAAAACCAAAATTAAACATTACTTATAACTTGTCAACAGGTAGATCACTGGGTACAATCTATATTTTTATATATTTATCAATATTCTTTTCACCATTTAGTATTGACGTGCATTCAAATAAATCATATAAGCAATAAACTTCTTACTAAAATAACATTATAGTTTTGTAGATTATAATTTGCAACTTTAGTTTATTATATTACTTTATATCTTGGTAACTTGGTATCTTCTTTTTTAAAAAAAGAAAAAACTTAAAATTAGTTTAAGCACACAAAAGTACTAAGTTTAGACCAACCATAAACAAAAAACCATAAAAATGATTATAGTTTTACAAGAAATTTTTCAATCTTTCTACAAAATTTTCCTCATATGAAATTGATCTATTGATGTGTGTTAGCAATATTTATTGACAACATCTATATAACAACAATCAATTGGTGCATACTAATTCTTGCATCTAATAAAATGAAAAAAGCTAATAGAAACTACTTTCATTTTGTATTGTCAACAAATATTACAAATAAACAAGAAAGAGAGCCACTCCATGCATTGTTTGTTAGTATTGGATTTGTTTAAATAATTACTAATTATAAATGTTTTTATTAAGAATTAACTATAAATATAAATTAAATGATTTTTTATAATTACTAATAAATAGTGCTTTGACAAAATTTAGGCATAGTGCTTTGATTAAATTTGATTTCTATGTTTACAATTTAATAATGAGATTAAGTAAGGAA